CAGGGCTCGGTCTTGGGGCCTCTGTTATTCTCCCTATATTTGCTACCCTTAGGACAGATCATAAATAGTTTTAACATTACATATCACTTATAAGCGGACGATATCCAGCTCCACATTTCATTCAAACCTAGTGAGGCTTTTAGGATATCAAGACTCTTAGAATGTCTTAGCGCCATTAAGGACTGGACGGCAGATAACTTCTTACAACTCAATGCTGATAAGACGGAGGTTCTGGTTGTTGCACCAGAAATGATTACGCCCTTGATTCTGAAAAGTCTTGGACCATATTCCTCTGCTGCCAACTCCAAACTACGCAACTTAGGGGTAATATTTGACCAATCCGCATTGTTTGATACCCATGTTAAGCAACTGACGAGATCATGTTTCTTCCACCTACGAAATATTAGCAAACTGAGATCTGTAGTTTCAACACCCGACCTAGAAATGATTATCCATGCATTTATTTCATCTCGCATTGATTACTGCAACGCATTGTTCTCCTCTCTCAGCTTGTCTGCCCTTGGTCGTCTGCAGTCAGTCCAGAATGCAGCTGCAAGACTTCTCTCCCGGTCAAACAAATGGTCCCACATTACCCCGATACTCAGATCACTTCACTGGCTCCCTGTAGTTTATAGGATTAAGTTCAAAATCCTCACTCTCACCTTCAGAGCTTTGCACGGTCAGACTCCTGCTTATGTGGCCGACTTAATTCACCCTTATACATCAGCCCGCCCACTCAGGTCTCACAGGCAAAATGTACTGTCTGTCCCACGTACCCACCTTAAGACCCGCGGTGATCGAGCGTTCGCAGCAGTGGCTCCTAAATTATGGAATGCTCTGCCTGCTCATCTACGGTCTGCGGAGTCTGTTGACTCTTTTAAAACTACTTTAAAGACATTCCTGTTTGGTCAGGCTTTTGGGTAACCAGTGTGCTTGATCTTATTCCATTTAATACTATGTTTTTATTTTGTTTGTTTTAAATTTCATTTGTACGTTTTGTTTTATTGTGTTTTTATTGTGTCTTAATTATGCTCTGGTGCTTTTATGACTTCTTAACATGTGGGTTCATTGATCATTGTATTGTATGTGGATGTCTTATTGTTTTGTCAAGCACTTTGTGACTTTGTCTGTGAAAAGCGCTTTATAAATAAACTTTACTTACTTACTTTCTTACTTACTTACAATGTCAGTGACACCTGGGGAACCTGGTTATATTAATATTAAGGGATGAAATTAAGATTAGCTATAGTTTTAAATGATTTAGCATATTTGGTTTCGAAGAACTTGACAGTGATGTCACTCTTCAAGAGGAAACACTTATAAGTGTAAGAAATAGATCATGCTTTGAGAGTAAAATCTTGGCAAACAAAATACAGGACAAAAAAAGTGGTTCTTCTTTTTTTAACTTTACAAAATAAAGTTAAAAAAAGGTCATTACAAATTAAAATCAGGACGTGCAGTGATAGACAAGACTAGACATTAGTGACTGTAACTTAACACGTTAATAACTTGACTAAACATAACTAACTTAATCTAAACATGGACTAACTAAACATGAAACAAATAACCTAAACCTGATAACTAACAAACTAAATATGGCATGAGAAACAAAAACTGAACATGGCAATATTAAACTTTTCAAAATGTATATGCAAGTTACCTTCTGCAACCTGGTTCACCATCTAAACTGGCTTCTTAAATGTTAAGCGGGAAGTTAATATAAGTCCGAAATATTTATAGACAAGTGAAAAATACATTAAACAGAATAAGGACCGCTGGTATAAGACAGAGGCCCTCTGTCATCTCCAGCATGGTTTCAATTTTTTACAGTAATTACACCAAGACATTTCTAATTCATCTGGAAATGATATATTGATGTTTACCAGTGAAAGTGAGAGGCCTGAGTGAGTACCTGAGCTGTTTCCTCACCTGACCCTGCAGCGAGGTTTCTGGCAGTCTGCCTCTCACTCTCAGTCCAGTGTTGGTCAGTCCTCACACTCACATTCATTTTTGTGTGTGTGGTGTGTGCCGCTGAGTGGATGAACTGGGTACTGAGGTTATCATCCAAGAGTCTGCTCAACTACACACAGGCTCAGCGGCCAGGAATGAGGCAGGTCAGCAAGAACATGCGCACGCACACACACACACACACACACACACACACACACACACACACACACACACACACACACACACACACACACACACACACACACACACACACACACACACACACACACACACACACACACACACACACACACATACAGTCATATAGCCGTATTTTATACTGACCTTTACTTTATTTTCCGTTTTCAGCTATGGAGAAGAAAGGCCTTACTCTGTGTTTTTTTCCCTTTATTGTAGCAAAGGTGTGTTTCACACATGTTATACACAAGGGAAATTCATTGTTCCTTAAATAATGTATACAAATTATTCTATAATATACATTAGACGAATCAAAAGTGTAACTGAAATGTGCATAATTGTGTAAGGGACATTGGTTTCTCATCTGTGAAAACAGTAAACAAATTTAAAAAAAGTTTAGTGGTTGACTTTCTTTATTTTTTGTCAGGATTATTTCAGCCACATGATGTTGAAGTGCACCACTTCCCCATGTTTTAAATATGACAAAATAGATCACCATATTTTTCTTGTCAATACATCCCACCACATAATTCCCCAGTCTTCTCTTAAAGCCCTTAAATGATGCAGTGTGCTAAAATTGTCACAGCTGGCCGTTGGAACTGAAGTAATATTATGAATTCCAGCTTCCAGTAACTGCTAGAATCCACTTCAAGACACTGGTACTTGCGTACCATGCTGTGAATGGATCTGGCCCTTCCTACATCCAGGACATGGTTAAACCATACACCCCAGCACGTGCACTCCGCTCTGCATCAGCCAAACGGCTCGCTGCACCCGCACTGCGAGGGGGACCCAAGTTCCCATCAGCAAAAACACGTGGGTTTGCTATCCTGGCTCCACAATGGTGGAATGAGCTCCCCATTGACATCAGGACAGCAGAAAGCCTACACATCTTCCGGCGCAGACTGAAAACTCATCTCTTTCGACTCCACTTCGAGCAATACAATGAAAATAAATGAAAATAAAATAAAAAGCACTTATATACAAACTAAGCACTTATACACTAACAAAGCACTTATATACTAACAAAGGACTGGCTTATCTAAAGCCAGTTGAGTAGCACTTAAAATGGGTTGGCTCTATGAAACCTGATGTACTTATATGATTCTGTTTTCTTCAAGTTTGTATTTTCTTGGTCGAATGCACTTATTGTAAGTCGCTTTGGATAAAAGCGTCAGCTAAATGCAATGTAATGAATTGGTTAATCACAAAATAATAATACACCAACATAAAATGTACCCCTTCTAGACAACATTAATGTATTGCATGAACGTTGTATCTCCCTAACTGTCTACATGTTTCCCTTTTTCCCTTTCTACTATCTTATGTAAATAAATGCAGAATCAAAACAACGACTAATAATAATTTTAAAGAAAAAAACAATACGACAAATTAACAGAATACTAGGGAGTGGATACAGAAGATAGAAGTGCAAAAGAAGAAGCTCTGCATCTTGTAAGGCCCTGAATCTTATCCTTAATGTGAAAATGAATACAGCTCAGGGTAAATCATGCATGTGATGTCCTTGGCTGATAAAGGTTATTCCAATTATAGTGGGGCACTGAGAAATACAATTTCTCTTGCAGTACAGCGCAGGGCTGTATTTCCTGTCAGATGGATACAATCTAGGTGTGGAATAAGGGGATCGATACATCAATAATCTGAGCAGTGAGGTTATGCACAGGGGTTGGTTAGAACATCGAAGTGCAGTGATACTACACTCAAATAAAAATCCAAGCTGTGGCCATGCCAAGTCCTCAGCCTGCTAAGAGAATGGCCACATCAGTGCTACTGTTTGCATCTAGATGACAAACACTTTGCTATGAGAGCAGAGCCAGACAGACTCTCTGTAAGTTGGACGATGCTTCTCAGTATGGGGCGCCAGCACAATCCATAAATGTTTGCTCACACTGCAGCCAAAGGTGTCCCAATTATGTATTTTCCCCAAACAAGGCAGCTGTTGTCTAATCAGTATGAAGAGAAAAATGTTGCATCATTTATCAGACTCTCAATTTGCAATCTGGACCACAAAGGTATGTTGTGAATGATCAGATCTGAGACTCTGCGGTGTAGTCAACAAGACGCAACATGAATTGATTGACTGAATTGTTGGATCTTCCTAAGTGCAGTCAGGACTAGACCATAACATATCAGATGTTGTTAATACCTAGATGCAACCGGAACATCCTCGTGGATCGAACGTTCATGTTACACATTCACATTATAGATTTTGCCTTCTGGATTTTCTATTATTTAATTTCATTATCCTTCTCTAATCTGTACACATGACACCTTTAGCACGTCTGTCAGTCCTGGGAGAGGGAAACTCCTCTTTTGCGCTCCATTTTTCCCTATTGATTTATTGGTTGGTTGGTCGGTTGGTTGGTCGGTCGGTTGGTTGGTCGGTCGGTCGGTCGGTCGGTTGGTCGGTCGGTCGGTTGGTTGGTTGGTTGAGTTATCGAGTGGTTGGTTGATTGAGTGGTTGTTTTGTTGATTTTATTTGATTGAGTGATTGATTGGTCAATTTACAAATATTGGGCTGATAGGTCCATTATAGGCGTGTTATATTAGCTCTGGTGAGGGAGATGGATACATTCTCTCAGACACAATAAACAAGACACATTAGCTCCCCAAGGACTTATACCTGGAAAAATAATAATATGCAGCGGTCACTTATCTTGAGAAATAGGTCATTGTCCATTTAACCTGTGCATGTCATTACAAACCTTATCATACCCACAACTTAATCAGACTTTTTGTTGTGTGCTTACGCTGGGATGACACATGAATACTGCAGTGGAGAAAATAAACTAAATTAATTTAAACGTCTTTTGTCTTTGTTTTGTCTGCAGATGACAGCAGAAGCCATTCTCCGCCTGGTCAATGATCCTGTGCTGCCATTCTACCCTCTGGACATTGCCCTGGATGTTCAAAACAAACTCAAAGGTAACATAGACGGTGATACAATGCTTGTTATAGTGGTGATGAAAATCTGTAAAGTTATACATTTTATAATTTAGCAGGTGGTTTTAAGACCTTTTTTTGAAAAAAAGACCACAGAACAAGGCCATACAGCCACAATCGATGAAGAAAGAAGAAAAAAAACAAGAGTCATTGAGCAAATCAGATAATAATGGTTTAAAATGGCCAAGGGGAATGAACAAATCTAGCTTGGAGGCACATTTCTGTTCATCCCTTTAAATGGGACATAGTATATCCAACATACATGTTGTATCACATACTGCTGTGAAGCCAGACTATTTGTATAATTCTGCGAGGGGAACAAATTGTCAAAGATAACAAAGCAATTGCAAAAAGATACATAAAGCATACATTTTTTTGCATAATATTGATATTCAATAATATTATTTGTTAGATACTTCAATAGTCAAATTGAATAAAGAAATTGCAAATAGAGATTGAAAAATGTGAGTTTATATAAGTGATAAACGATATAATAAATACAAGTGATAAGCAAAAGCTTTTTTTGATTTTTTTAGCTGAAATGGCTGGTGTTGAGTGTAGGTGGGCGTGTTTATATTCTTTACAAAGAGTTGTTGTTGTTGCTGGTGTTGTGTGTTGAGTAGGTTACAGCAGACTGTTTGAGGCGGAGGGGAGAAGTTTCAGCTTCCTGACAGTCTGCTGTATGAAGCTGTCAGCGACGTGCAGTCAGTGGAGGCAGGGGAGGCAGAGCCTCACCTGTCATACTCCAATGTAACGGAAAAACAATTAAAGAAAAACTAAATAATAATAATAATAAAATGTCTCCACTGATCTTTTGTAAATGTGATTTCTGTATGATTCCAATCGCATTTTATAGTCAAAATCAGCAAATTTGCCGAGCTCCGCTACGGGAGCGATGAGAAGTGAGGCAGGGACGAGCACTGCCTCACGTAAGCCCACAGTAACTTGCTGGAGCGCGGGCACTAATTTAGCGCGGCCACTTATTTTGTGAGCGCGCTCAAGCCATTTACTGTGGGGTGAGGTGAGGCACAGATGAGCTCTGCCTCACTTCAGAATGCGTCACCCCACAGAAACTGGCTGGAAAGCGGGCCCTAAGCGCATGCCTGTTACCATCTCACTGTAGGTCACCAATGTAATGTTTGTAGATCCCTTTATTACATTTATCCTCGCCATCCATAGTCTCTAAATAACTTATTTCACGTATATATGATATTTAGGCTCGCTGGTCTCATCGTACAACGGCAATGAAAAGAGCACCAGGAGAGGCAGCCATAACCTCTGCCGCACTGAAGGGGGCGCACGTGAGCCCACAGGTTCTTGTTGCTACTGTTATTCTACCGCAAACAACAAACTAGACTTTTGAAACTACAGGAAGATAAGGAGGACTTTTACAAAACAGTAATAGAGATTGTTGTCCAGAAGGATAGCATGGACTTATATTCATCTTCAAGTCAAGGTAAGACCACAACTGTAATGAAAATGGGATCTTACTTAGAAAGAACAATCCAATATTTAGATTTTGGGTATCCTTTTGTTGATCGGTCTGTTTAAAATTAATCATAGCATCAGACTAAAAAAGCTTTTGAAAATAACAGAATATTTCGATTAAGGTCAAAATAGGCTATAATATTTGTAAATCTGACTCTGAAAGAGTCAGTGCCTCACCAGCCATGAACCTCACCGCACGTCACTGGAAGCTGTTACTCAGCCTGGTGGAGCGGGCTCCGAGGCTCCGGGATCTTCTCCCAGATGGCAGGAAACTGGAGAGGCCATGTGAGGGGTTAAGGGGGGAGGGGTCATATGCAATGCTGGTGACTGTGCAGGCTGTAAATGTCCATGAGGCAGGGGAGTGAGGCCGCCGTTATCTCCCCAGCTGCATCCACCATACGCTGCAGGGTCCTCGCTTTGAGTTCCCAAACATTACTGAGATGCAGCTGGTGGGAATCGACTCGATGAAGCCACTTGCTCTATTTAGCTGTTTGATTACAGTTTATTATAACTTGGGTTTTATTCTCATAGCTCAGGCCATCAGTTCCAACAGTTATAAGAATGTTCAGCTTACCAAAGTCAATCCTTAGATCTCGAAACACATTGGCATTGACATCAGCCTAGTGTTAACAGTTGACCGTTTTTGCGGGACAACACAGCATTTATGTCATTTGTCCCGCTTCCCACAAATTGAATCGATGTCCCGCATTTTTGACAGTGGCCAGTCTTTTATCCAATGGCTCATTCAATCATTAAAGTCTGGAAATATATTAACTTATGTGTGTAGATGCTGGAGGGCCATTCCCAGAGAGTGTTTTGTGGCATGTTTTGTTTGTAATTGCGCAGGTGACTATGTTTACAAGTGACACTACATGCTAGACTTACAAGAAATGCCAGGCTTATCAAGAAGAGTGTCGATCTATTGATATATTCCATGTGAAACCAAAAGACGATTACCAACAGATCAGTTAACACAGGGGTCTGCAACCTTTTTGACCAAAAGAGCCATTTTGCCCCCTTTTCCACACATTTTTTTTGTCTGGAGCCGCAAAACATATTTGACAGCTTGATAGCTTATCAAGTTGTGTATATTGTTACATCATAGACAAAAACTACAGTTTTTTTGCATTTATTATTTATTACATTATAGAAAACGGTTTACCTCTAATAAGAAACAAATAACAATTTTAAGGAGAATAAAAAAAAATACACAGGCCTACTTTAAAATAAATCAACACAGCACTTGGGGAGTCCTCTGCACATTTGAAGAAAAATGAATATAATTCAAATGGGCCCACTTTGAAATAAATAAAACTTATAGCTGCACCCTAAAAAGAGTTAAGTGATTGAATTATGACTGAAGATCGTCAGCTGTCTTCCTCATCTGTGTTTTCCCTCCAATACGTAAAGGCTGCAGCACCTTTGACAACTTCTCTCCACATATCAAACATACCGGTAAGCCAGCATCGTTTGCTATGAAAGCATATAACTCTAACCATGCAGAATTAAACCCTCTGTGTTCCTCCGATACTTTTATTTTCTTTGATGTATCCATAGTTCGCTCATCGAGCCGGGGATCAGGTTATTCACCTGCAAGAAAAGGCGCTGGTGCAGGACCGTAGCAGGATATATATATTTGAGTTGACCTAATTAAAAACGTTTGTTTTTCTTTAAATGTATGTGTCACAGTATCACCTCAAAATACAAGATACGAAACATTTTCAACCGTGCAACAAAATATAAATAGTCCTACAAATATTTTAATTTTATTTCCTTCTTATTTTTGTCTAAGCTCAAGGAAGCCAAAGAAGAGGGCTTAAAGAGCTGCATGCGGCTCTCGAGCCGCGGGTTGCCGACCCCTGAGTTAACAGCAGCTGAAATAACTAATGTTTACAACACTGTGAAGCCCTCGCAGTCATATAGTTCCGGTCATTCTTTCAGACTCAGATATTGACAACAAATAACAAATGGACGATTGTTTGATGGAAACATTTTTCTTCAAACCACATATATTTATATGTATTTAAGACCTAAAGGTTTGATGGACATATTATTGAAATCTATACTACCTCATAGCATCGCAGTAACATGTCACATTGGTGACACCAATGGCACCTGCTCCACTTTCTACCCCCCTACTTTCGGCCCCCCCTGCTTTGAGTACAGCTAGTGATAAACTCTGCAATCTTTTTGAGCTCAACTTCACACCTGTGTGCAACCCTGAAATGCAGTGACAAACTGTCCACACAAAAACAGACAGACAGAGATGATGAAGTTCAGAAGGTAAAAGCAATAGCACCGTGTCTCTTACAAAATCCCGTGCACAGAGAACTTGTGTATGCATACAACTACTGTATGCATAAGGTGCATAAGTACTGTATGTATAAGTCACATTTAACCAGAAAGCCTGTCAGCTGCGGTTGATGTTTACCACTGGCAGCCTATTTTGTATGTTTTAGGTTATTTTACGACCAGTCTGACAGCGTGTTGTGTCTTGCCACATCCAAGCTGCTTTTTACCATTTTTGCCACATTCCCAGATCTAGGATCTTTGATACAATAGCATAGAACGTTTATGGGTATATGTGAACAGATTTAGCATGTCTGACTGTAATGTTTGATATATCAGTTTTGGATTCTAGACAGAACACTGCAGTACGGTGTTCTATTGGTGTGAGAGTGTGTGTGTGTGTGTGTGTGTGTTTGACTTTTATGCAGAGGCATAACTCATTACAACTAGCCAGTCAGAAGATAAATCCTTATTACCCTCTACATCAAACATGAACACATAACCAAAACACCAAACACCAAAAATGACAAAAGAAACAATTCAGTAGAAAGTTTTTACATGCACACACACATATGCTACACACACATCCAGTAAATGCACAAAGCTTTCTTCAGACATTTTCTCCCGTAAAAAAAAGATGTAGTGTTGGTTGAAGTGTTTGGCTGAATTTGTCGATCTCTCCGCTCATAATGCAACACAGTAACCTTGATTTCTGTCATTTATACAATTCAAATCAAGTGTTTTTCTTATGAAACCTCCAACCTTCAAACACTTACATTCAATTGAATTAATTGAAAATAGCCAAAATAATTAAATCTGTTTAAGAGTCATTTATAAATGCTAGTCTTTCCAAAAGGCACATTAAAACCTTTTATAACACACAACATCATTGTCATTGACCATTTTAACGACTAGTCCTTTTAATACAGCAATAAACTGTCCTCTATTTTATGTTGTCTCTCAATTTCTCTCATAGCTGTGTTTCTCCAAATTTGCTAGAGAGGTGCAGTGGGTGCATATTTGTTGTCAGTTAGTATTGCACAGGCTCCCTCGCTTTTCATTGGATTTCGATATATTGCAGAAAATAGGATCTGTGGCAAACACACATTCATGACTTACGTTGTTTGTTCAGCAGGACAATCTCCATGAAAAAAAAAACACTTTTATAATAGTTGAAGCCTAAATGCAATTGCCAGAAGTAAAAA